TATCTAAAACTTATAATAAACTTATAAAAATCTGTCACATAAAATCAAAACATATATTAAAAACTAAGAATAGTTTATTAAATATTAAATATTATATTATATTAAAAATTCTAAATAAATAAAATTTTTTTTAGCTAACTGAATATTTTTCTAAGAATAGTGTAATATAATGAATATAAATGCTAATATTAATATTATTAATATAATCACTTACTTTAATTTTATTAGTAGACTTTATATACTAAATAGTTTAATATATAAAGTAAGCATCATATAATGAACTAATCTTATATTGAGGATTTATTATATCTAGTAGTGACTGTAATAGTTTAATTTTTTATTTTAAAATTTAAAAATAATAAAGGTTTAAACATTATAAATATTTAGTAAAAAAATTTTTAAAATTTTTAAAATTATTGTAATCATATATCAATAAGCAAAAGTTTATAAAATTCAAGTTATAAAATTTTATTTCAAAGTTTATAATTTTAACAGATTACTATGTTTTATTTTTATAATATAACTAATTTATATAAAAAAACAGCTTTAATAAAAAAAATAAAATAACTATTTTAAAGTTTTATATATTTCAAAAAAAAAAAAATAAAAATTGATTATATATATTATATAATTTTAAAATTAAGCATCTTTTTTTATTATAGTAATATTAATTTTTAGGTAATTTTTAAAAATAAATTTTCTTTACTCTAAAGTTACCAATATTTTATTTTTTAAGTAATCATCAATAAAACTATATCTTATTTTTAATATAATGATCTTGTGTAATAAAATAATTTAACTTATTAATATTATAAAACTATTTTAAAACTATTTTCATCTAGACAAAAAAAAAATGCCAAAAAAAGTTATAAAAATTAATAAACGTAAAAAAACTACTAAAAAAAATACTAAATGTAAATATTTCTTAAACTGTAGAGGTTTCAGACAAATTTGCTTGCTTATTTACTATAAATTCCCTTCTGATTTACTTTTATGAAAAATTAAAATTTAAAAATTTTTTTTTTAAATTAATTTTATAATATATATAATATTATAGTAAATTTTATTTTTTAATTATATAATAAATAATTTAAGGTTATTTATAAACCAAAAATTTGTAAATTATAAATTAAAAAATTTTATTATTAACCTTTGACCATCTTATTAATATTTACTTTTAGTAATATTAATCATAATAGAATATTATAAAAAGAATAACTTAAATTATTACAATTTTTATAATTTACTAAGATTCTTATTAATAGTAAAATAATTCAATTAATTCAAAAACATATGAAATTTAAGAAAATTTTTAAAAAATTATTATAATAAATTTTTTAAAACTTAATTTTAAAAATTGAATTATTTAAAAACTTCTTAATAAACTTAAAATTTCTTTTAATAAAGTTGATAAAATATATATTAAATTATATTTTTTATATAATTATTATATGATTAAAATTAAAAATTTAATATTTTATTAAAAATTAATACTTTTTTTTTTATGTTTGCAATCAATTTTGTCTGCTTTACAGTTTAAGGAATAACTTTTATTTTATAAAGCAAAAAAAAAAATTATTGATTATATAAAGCAAAATGAAAAAAATAAGGTGATAACATACTTTAAACTTGATACTACAAGTAAGTTTAGATTAGATAACTGAAATAAATTAAAACATAAAAAAAATTAGTTCTAGTCAAAAAGCTTTATATTCTGAAATTGAAAAAAGTTATATTATTGAATTATTGAGTAAAGAAAGTAAGGACTAGTAATAACATATACAATTATATAAGTTAAAATGCTAAATTTTTAAAAGAAGATAATAATAACTAGCAGAGAACTTTAAGATATCAAATTATTAGGTATCTGTATTTATGAAAAAATATAAACTAACTTGGCAGAGAAATATAAGAATTTTACAAAAACTTCTTGTATAGATTAAAGAATTATTAGAAAGATTTTACTAATTTATTATTTATCTTAGGGTTAAAAAATCCTATGAGTTAAGTAACATTATGAGACACTTGTATGGTTTAATATGATAAGAAATTTTATCATCAATCAGAAAGGTAAAAAGACAATTTAGATTCATATAATAAGCAATGAAAAATTCAGTTTATAGTTATTTTAACATATTGTTAACATTAAAATAGATGTTATTACAAATACAGAAAATATTACATGAAAACTGTTAGGTAATAATGAAAAATATTAAAGATCTATATGATTTACCTGATCGATTAAATCTATCAGTTCTGTCTGATACTATAAATTTTAATTATACTTATAATAATAGATAATTTTTCATTCTCAAATGTCTTCATTTTATTTTATTTATTTTTTTATTTCATATTATTTATCTTATATTTTAAATCTTTATTTTATTATTTTTTACTATTATTTTTTATCTAAAATTTATTAAAATAGTTAGTTTATAATGTAATTAAATAGTTAATCATAATAAATTTATTTTATATAAATAGAATAACTTTTTGCTTAAATTCTAAATTAACTCTTTTACAAGTTTATTAACTTATCTGTAAGTTTCTACAAATTTCAATATTATAAATAAAAAAATCAATTTAAATCTATACAAGTTACTTTTTCCTTTAATATTATCTCTCATCTAAAATTTATTGTGATATTCTACACTAATTTTGTTATTGAGTTCTTCATTACAAGTTCAATTAAATATATCTTAAATTCAAAGCATAATAAATTGTCTAATTAATTCAAATATAATAGATATCTGTAGAATTTAATAAAAATTCTAAAGTCAGAAACTCCAACATGTAGAATCAACTACCACAACCTTTTAACTTAAAAATTAAAATAACTGAAAATGAACCTAATGACAATGTATTACAAATGAGAAATTTTGCAAAATTTATGGTAATTAAATTATAATTTTTTTAATAATTTATTTAGTGATATATTTGAACTAATATTAATTTATTTATTTCTAAATTTGTTATATTATAAATGGTACAAAATTACTTCTAATATGTATTTTTAAGGAAAATGAATTTCAAATGAAGAAAAATTCCTTCTGATATCTTAGTCTAGTTCTAAGAAAACAAATAGATGAATGTTAAGTTAATGAAGTAATATATAGATTATCTTAACAATATAATGAATAGTAATAGAATCAGAATTCTAATGATGATGATTTATAATTTCTTTAAAGAATATTTGAAGGAATCTATTAAGAAAAATTTTAAGATTATGGATTTGACCTAATAGTTATTCCAGCTGAATTGACTAGCATGTGTAAATCTCTTGATATTATAATTAACAAACTTTTTAAAGATAATCTTCATAAAGAATGGCATCTCTAAATGGCTAATGAAAATGCTAGATGAAGTACTGAGAGTAAGAATGCTAATGGTTATAGTCCAGTTATAACTGTGACCAATATCAGTTGGTCAAAGGCTTCTGACTGACCGGTTGACCGACTAACTTGAAACTGAACATTCATATTTAAATAGTAAAAACATTTTGTATTAAAATTAACAAAATCAACATTTTATTTTAATTAGCTATAAATTAAAATAACTTTCTATTAAGTCACAACTGCTCAATTATATTACTATTAACCGGTTGGTCAACTGGTCAATTAAAATTGATCAGTTAACCAGTCGGTCATTCAAAGGCCTTTGACTGATCATTGACTGATCATTGACCAATCAGTGACTGACCATGACCGACCGTTATCATTCCTAGCTGAGAGTAATCTTCAGCATGGATAGATAAAAAGATCATAAGAGTAAATTTCTGATGAGGTAATTATTAATTTTTTTAAAAATTGTCATATATCAGATGTCTTGGATGATTTAAATATTAGTGATGATGATTTGGAAAATTCTGATAAAGAAAATGAGAATGAGATTATTGATATTAGTGATGATAATAATACAAATTTTAATAAATCATTGTAATTAGATTATTTTTTATTTTTTTATTTGTAAATTCAATAGTTTTAATAGTTTTAATAATTTTACTAATCAATTTAATAATAAATCTTTTACTTTTATTAATAAAATTATAAATTTTTTGAAGGGATGCTTATTTTCAGGTTATTTATAAATATAAGGATGCTTATTTTTGGGGCGTAATATTTACAATAAAAAACATCTTATATCTCTTCAGAATTAAGGCGTCAGCCATAATGGTTCCAGAACATCGATAGCCTAAAACCATTTTTGGTCAAGTCTGGTAATTTAAATTTTCAGATCAGGTAACTGGTTTACAGATAAAATTCAAACTATTTCTAATTTTAACATCTGATTTTTTTATATCAAATCATTTAATAATTTTTATATCTTCTAGTATTCCTCATAAACATGAAATGTTTATATAGCACGTATTAATTATATAATAGAATATTCTGTATTTTTAACTTTTCCGAAATTACGAAAGGAAACTTGAAACCTTACTGTAAGGTAATAAAGAGAGACGATTATTTGATAAAAGGAAAACATAAAAGAAATAGGAAGAAAAAAAAAGTTAAACTTCATGTCTGCATTAGCCGAACGTTATATCATAACCTTTAATGGCAACAATTTTATAATTGTCTTATTATTTTACTTTTTGGTCAACTGAAAAAATGATTTACTCTATTTAGGACATTCTATTATGTAATTGAGCAGATGAAACCATTTGTGTATCGGGCATGTCATTTACCCAAATAACATGGGTCAGTTTTCAAATAATAACTGCATGACGATTATTTAATTGACCAAATGACCAACAAAACATTCATTTAAGTAAGTCGGGTGATTTCCAAAATTATATATTTCTGAAAGGGGAGACGTAACGGGGTGGCTTGGTATATACAATTTAATTCTCGGGTCATTTTCATTCATTTTATTATTCGTTTTTGTATTTAAAGTCCGTTTTTTTTTTTACACTTATTCAGAGAATATTTTTTTTTTTTCATTTTTCTTTCTTTACATATTCAAGTGAATCTTCTATAAATACTTTTTACCAACTTTTAAATATGGCAACATTTTTCCGGCGGATATTGAACAAACGAAGTGTCAATTCACTCGTTCAACTTGATCGTTTTATAGGTGGCTGTCCTCATCGTCCAGTAATTTCTTTAACAAATATGACCACAAGGTTATATTCTTCCTCGTCTTCTTCCTCGTCTCCATCAAGTACGAAAAAGAACAATACAACACATACTGCACCTCAGAAAGAATTGCACTTTGTTCATGTTCAACATATACATCCACGAGAACTCGCGCAGAGCACGTTCTTTGCGTTGCATAGACCATTGTTAACCTTTGGTAATGAACAAATGCAACAAACATTTGAAAATGGGCAGAACCAACAGGTTTGGGAAGAAGAAGGTAACCCAATTAATACATTAAAAATTTTGTCGTTTGTCTTTTGATCCATTTACTAAGTAAAATTTTTTTTTTTCGATCATTTTCATTTCATATTTTTTTTTTTAGATTACGAAGAGAATTCCGGATCCAATGCTAACAACGCAATACCACTCGCTAACCCACTTTCACCTTATCTAACTACTACTCCATTTCATCCCAATCAACCAACAATTTCAATGTCTGCTGCAGAATCAAAGTATGTAGTTAATAGATTTTTCTCTGAAATAAAATTAAAGTTCAATCAAGAACAATTATTAAATAATCAAAAGACGACAGTTACGGAATTAGAAGTAGATAATGTAAAACAACTGGAACAATCGACAAGTGAAATTAATTTTGAAGAAGAAAGAAAGAAAAGAGAGAAAACTTTATATCTGACAAACATTCTTCAGAAGAGAAGATTGAAAATGAACAAACATAAACTTAAAAAATTAAGGAAGAGAACTAGAGCATTAAGAAAGAGACTTGGAAAGATTTAATTAAGATATTTTGATCATTAATTTTGATAATTATTTTCAATTATAATATTATATAGAAATTAGTTGATTTGTTATATTCATTATTATTATTATTATGAACAATTTATTATTTTTTTTTTTTTTTTAGTTCAAAATATGTATTAGAAATAATCATTGTAATTACGTAATTTTTTTTTTTCAACTTATTAAAAGGTAGCAAGCAAATTCTATTTGCTTGATAAAACCTTCTTTACCTTATTATCAAAGAAACTGAATAAATTGTTGATACGTGTCATGAATAATACTCTAACTCAGTGTTGGCCGTTTGGCCATTAGCCATTTGGCCCCACAAAAAGGCTAAAAAATCTCGGCCGCGGCCAAATGCCAATCAAATTCTATTAAGTAGTTATTTGGCCAAAATTTGGCTGTTTGGCTGGCCACGGCGAAAAACTTCTTTACTGCCTTAACTTAAACCGACGTGACAAATAATTGGTCACATGATACCCATATTCGATTAGATTATCTACAAAAAGTTTTTTTTTTTTTGTTTGCTTCGATAATTTTCTGTTATGGATTCAGATACTGAGCATTCGAATACTAATCCTGTTGTAGATTTGAAATTGGTAAATTGAAAATTTTCTAAATTTCTGTTCATCTAAAGTAGCATTTCTTTAATGAACCATTGTTATCATTATTAATTTATTAAAAAAATGCATACGTACAGATTGAAAAGGCTACCCATGCATTATTAAAACATGAAAAAGTTCGACCAAAGTTAGGAAATGATTTATTATCGGATGGTCAACCAGTAAATGTTTGGTTGATAGTATCATTGTTCAAATTTTCTGACAAGCCCAGGCTTAAACCCGTGAGAATGTAATAACTTTTCTTTTCTTTTTTTTTTTTTGTAATAGAAATAATTCAATTCATTTATGCTTTTTTTTTTCTTTTATTTTAGTCCGTTAAAGCACCCTTTATATGGATCTTCAACAGATATTTGTTTAATTACTAAAGATCCGCAAAGAACTTATAAAGAATGGGTTGCTGCACACAACGTTAAATGGGTTCAAAATGTAATTTCAATTTACTTATTTTATGTAAACAACAACTTCATATTAATTATAATTTTTTTTCTTTTTTTTTTTTTAAAAAAAAAAAATAAATATTAGGTAATTGGAATTTCTAAACTTCGTAAAAAATATATACCTTACGAAGCTAAAAGAAATTTATGTGATTCGTATGATTTATTTTTAACGGATGAGCGTATTTTACCTCTTCTTCCTAATATGTTGGGAAAATATTTCTTTGAAAAGAAAAAGTAAAAATATTATATATATATATATATTTTTTAGCTTGACATTTATTTATTTACTTAATTATTTATTTAAGAAATTCTTTTAATTTTATTACATTATAGGCAACCGATCCCAGTGAATATTAGTAAAGAATCGAATTTCAAAAGAGAAATTCTTAGAGCTTGTCATTGTACTTATATGTATTATAGTCCAGGAGTATGTCTGTAAGTAAACATAACAATTTCAATTTATTTTTATGAAAGATACTCTAATTAATATTCGACTTTGTAATAGATCTATTAAAATAGGGACAACAGGTATGACATCAAAACAAATTTTGGAAAATTTAGAAATGGCCATTCCAGTTATTGTAGATAAAATACCAAGGAAATGGAAGAATATTCAATCTTTACAAATAAAGACAACAGAATCTATTAGTTTACCTATATATAATTCTTTACCTAGTTTACCTATTGAAATTGATCCTATAAGTTTAGAAAATTCTTCGAGTCATGGTGATAATGATAGTGAAGTTAGCGAAGATAATGAAGATGAAAGTGAAAGTGAAGGCGAAAGCGAAGATGATGACGAAGATAAAGAGGATAATGCAGATGAGGATGACAAGGCTACTAAAAAAAGGAAAATTTCAAATGACATCTCCGAAAACGTTGTTGTTCCCAAGAAGAATAAGAATTCACAGGTAATTAATTTATGACAGAATTTCTGTAATCATAAATAAAAAAACTTAAATTCGTTAAAATTTATTTATATTCGATAAATTAAAAAAATTTTTTTTATACAAAATTTTTTATAAATTATGTTTATAGTTGAAAAAATCTACAGTAAATATAATAACCAAAAAAGAAGAAGGGATGAAACGTCCCCTTAATAAAAAAGTTAAGGAAGGAAGTGATATCGTTAAAGCAAAGGAAGGAGAAGAAAAAGTGAGTAACTCCGTAAATGTTATTACAGCTGAAGCAAAGGATAGTAATTCTAAAAAAGGAGAAGGGAGAGCGAAAAACAACGTAAAAGTAAACATTACACTCGAACAAAAGAAAACTAATGGAGAAGGAAAAAAGTCGAATAATACCGTAAAAGTAAAAACTACAACTGAAACCAAGGATAGCATTCCTAAGAAAGGAGGAGAAGGGAAAGCAAATAGTAATGCAAAGGTACCCAAACAACAGAAAGCCAATGTTGTAGGTGAAATAAGAGCGAGTACTGTGGTTAAAGAAAAGATTACAAATGAAGCAAATGATAAAAATTCTAAGAAAGAAGGCGGCAAAGCGAATAGTAATAAAAAAGTAAACACTATACCTAAACAAAAGAAAGCCAATATTGGAGGAGAAAAGAAAGCAACTGTTGAATTGAAGAAAAGTAATTTTAAACAAGACGAAAGTAATTCTCGAGTTCTAGATACGGCTTCCAATGAGAAGAAACGAAAAAAAACATCCGAAATTAAGAATGTAAAGTCTGCTATAGATGCTACTACAAACAAAAAGAGTACTAAGGATGATGATAAAAAAGATCCTTTAGATGACAAGGTATCGAGTTTTATTGCTGAACAGAAAAAGAAAATTATTGAACAAGCGGACATGAACTCTAACAAAAACGTTGTTGGTAATGATAAAGCAGTAAAATCTGCTGCTGCTAATGTCAGAAGCAAGAAAGCATCAGAGAAGAAGAAAGGAAAAGACGAAGAAATTAGTCATATGGAAAACAGTGGGTCTGCTGATAATTATGAGAAAAAGAAAGTAGCACAGGAGAAACCGAAAGGCGAAGCAGAAGTTAATGGCAATGGCAAGAAAAATGGTAAAAGCATTAAGAGAAAAAGAGAGGTTTCTGGAAAAAATAAGCCAAATAAAAGAAAATAGCAATAATAAGTAATTATTTTTTATTATAACTTAAAATTTGTATTGAATCATATTAGTGTTAATTCTTAATATTTTGCTGGTTTTGGGTAATTCTTTACCTGGATACAATATTTTAATTTTTTAATAAAATATTGCAAATCATTAAATGATTAAGGATTTTAAACAAATTTGATATTATGCTTTATCTCTGTTTTAAAAAAATAAGATTTACTAATTCTTTTCATTTTTTTTTGAATTTTATAATCATATACAAAAAAGTGTATAAGATTTTTTAATATAAGAAAGATAAAACATGCAATTTTTCTTTTAAAATTAGCAGATCTTAATTGTATATATTACAGAGATAAAGTTAAAGTTTATTTCTTCTTTAATTAATTTAACATAAATTAATTTTTGTATATTTATTATTATTTTATGATTTATTTATTATAAATAATTAAAATAATCATAATAAAACAAATTTTTATTAAATTTGTCTTTTAACTTTTTTAAAAATATAATATTATAAAATATTTAAAGTCTTTTAGATTATTAATAGTATTTTATATTTATTTTAATAAAAATATTAAAGAATAAAATTTAGTAATTGTTTTTTGATGAATTATTAAGATATTTTTAAAGATTTATAATTTTACTTTATAATTTAATATATAATTTATAATTTAATCAAGAAAAAATATTAATAATTAGTATAAAATATAAGATATTAATTAATTTGATTATATTAATTAATATACAGTATTTTTAAATCTAAATTTAATAATAATAATATTATTATTATTTTTGAATTGCTAATCTAAATTAAAAAATCTAAAAAATAATTTTATATTTTTTTATAAAGTTAAATTTTTAATATACTAAGGAACGATTTCAGAAACCATTGTTAAGTCTGAAGCACAAGTATAATGAAAAGGACCAATCACAAATTAATTCAAATTTTAAGCGGGCGAATAACAAGATACCTCGTATAACATATAGCTAGTATGTGAAAATTCTTTGCTTCGTTCAATACTAATAATTGACTAAATATAAGAATAGGTATTATAATTATAATTTTTTAAGTTATATCTAAATATATTTATTCAAAAAGTATTATAATTATTAGTTTAAAAGTATAAATTAAACTATTAAAAAAAATTAAGATTTTATATAATATAAATAATTTTATCTTTTAATGTTCTGTAAAATCAAATCAAATCAGATTTGATCTAATTTTATATTTATAAATCTGATTTGAATTTGAATATGATAGATCAATTTAAATTTAAATTTGATGTAAATCTGAATTTAATAAATTAAATCTTAAATTTGAATCTGAAAAATCAGTTAAAATCTAAATTTAATCTAATCTGAAATTAATTCTAAAAAGTTTCTTTTTATTGAAATTTTTGATTATTATAATTGAATGATAATATATCATTTAAAAAAAATAATAATAAATCATTCAAATTAAATAATATTAAATTGCTTAAGAAAAATGATAATATATTATTTTAATAAATAATAATAAATTATTTAAAAAGAACAATAATATCATTTTAATTAAATAATAATAAAATTTTCTAATTAAATAATAATATATTATTCAAAAAGAATAATATATATTATTCTAATTGAACGATAATGAATTGCTTAAGAAGAAATTATTTAATGAAAATAATTCAGATTTGAATCTGAATTTAGATCTGACAAATCAGATTTTAAATTAGAATTTGAATTTGAATTTGATAAAGATCTGATAAATCTGATTTGAATCTGACCGATTATGTTTAGATTAAATTTAAATCAATTCAGATTTGTAAAGAATATTACTATTTATTATAATATTTTTATAATATTTTTATTAAAATAAAAAATATTATTAATTATAAATTTATATATATTTTTTGTTTATTATTTCTTCAATAGTATTATAGGTGAATTTACTTATATTTTAACATTATTTTTATTAATTTTATTAAAGATAATAAAATATTATTAATTATAAATTTTACTTTAAAATTTACAATTAATTATTAATAAAGTATTTTTATGTTTATAATGCAGATTAATTAATATTTATATTACTTTATATTCTAAATATTATTGATAGAATTTTATTTTAATTTTAATCATATTACTTATGTTCAAATGAATTATTTCTATTATTCCTTTAAATGATAAATATTGTAAAAAATTATAATATTTTAATATCTAATATTTATAAAAAGATTTATAGATTTATTTATATTAAGATATATTAATAGGTAGTATTTTTAATTTTTAAAATTAATATATATATCAATTTAAAATAATTTGTTATTAAATAATCAAAAAAAAAAAATAATATTTAGTTTGTTGGATTCATTTTATTAAGACCTATTAAATGGTAGTATTTTTATATTTCTGAGATTAATATATTGCAAGATATATGAGTTTAAAAATCACTAGTTAATAAATTACATTTTTTTTTTTTTTTTTTTTTTTGAAAACATCATTAAATCTATTACACAGTAAATGTAATTTTTAATAAAAATATTTAAATAATTAAATTATTAAATAAAATTGCAGGCAATTCCTTGAAGGTATAATGATTTAATGATTTATTAACGGTTTTCACCAAAATTATACATAAAATATAAGCAATTCAATTTTATTAATTTTATTGAAATACATTATCAATTTACCATAATTATTATAATTATTAAGCAGAGAAAATGTATGTCTTTATTCAAAAATGTGTCATCCATCAGCTACGTTTATTTGGAACATGTAGTATCAGATTAAATTACTAACATTACCTTAGTAAGACGGTGAAGCTCCACCAAAAGTTTAATGTAAATCACGCCTCTTTTTCCAGTCTTTTCAAATTTTTTCAAGTTATTTTTGAAACCATTTTCTTTTTGAAAACCCTTTCGTACATTAAACACTTGTTGTGGTGCTAAATCATGTGATGTACATAACTGGTATGAGTTAATTTTATCTGACAGTGCCACATTAAGAAGTATAGAAACAGGAAGCCCCGAAGAGGTAGGAAAACTAAGAAGGTATTCGATTTCTTCTACACTAAAATACACATCTGAGAAGAGGATTTTAGCAGTTGGATTCTCATCTAGGCGAGATCTGGCATCTTCGGAACTGTCAAAAGTTAAAAGATCGTTGACAAAGATTTGGATTTTGTAAAATAAAGATTCGTCTTCTTTATGCAACTTTTTCAGCTCAATTTCGTAGCTCATTATATTTTCACAGGTGGAAGTGAACAGTTCAAGCAAACAATCAGCACCTTTGAAAACAAATGTGATAAGAATCAGTTTTTTATTTTCGCATGATATTAAATTTATAACTTGTTTATGGAGCACCTTTATGTCCACGCAAAATGTAACGACACCAGATTGGCTCTCTATTCCTTTTTCTGCAGACAAAGAAATGTTGAGCAGGCTTACACCCTCACCTAGCTTTGATGTTATAAAATCTGAAAATAAAGACCAGCTGACTGCTATGTTTTCGATAATCATAATTTCCGTCGAGTCCAATTCTTTCAGCGGAGTTTCAGTGAATGGTTCTATATCGTTATCTACTGAAGTTGTCGATAATGACAACTTTTGAAAACAATCGTCAATAGAAAGATTTGGTGAGGGTTGTCCTTTAGAACGAAAGACAATGAAAATACGTTCACTGTTTACGTAATATGTTGAGAAAAGAAATTTTAAAAGGCGGTCATCAAGAATTCTTATCCAGTATTCTTCTGTGGATTCTTTAATCCAGCAAACATAATCAAAATCAACATTTAGCATAGTTCGAAAAGCATTGAGATTAACATCTTCTAAATCGGTAATAGTTAGAGTGGCAGTATTAGCGATTTTTTCAAACAAACAAGTACGGATTTCAGATAACAAATTTATTATAGTCATTACAAATGTTAATCAGAATACGTAACACAAAGTGATCGACGTCATATCGGTAATATATCGAAACTAATTATTTATTATTGTGTATCCGAAAAAATGATGAAAAGCAAGGTTTTAAGGAAGGAATAAAGCCATTATGATGGCAGTTCCTTCCTTGCTACTCGATGATAATATCTAAACTACAAGAAATTTCTTACTATCTACCCATCTGTTACAGTAGCGGTCATAAGTATCCGACCGCCCGAGATCGTCCAAAATTATTATATAACTACCCCTTAAATTTTCCAG